AAAAAAGAATTAAAAGAAGAAATTAGTGCATATTAGTTATACCTCTAAAAAATTTAAAGGAAAATAACTCCAAAATTATATTATTTCAATAAATTCTCATTTTATTTAGGACTTATTTAGTTAGTGATAGTGACAATTCCTTAGTTAAACTATAAAAATAAGCTAAAATTATAAAATTTTCATAAAAAGCTAAAAAAAACCTTAACGTCTAACTTTCCATTTATATTAACAAATAATTAAAGAATTCTTATTTTCCTTAAACAATGAAAGTAATACATATTCCTCATTCATTTATTAATTTAGTTAAAAATTATAAATATTAAGGCTTAGTTATAATTGCTTCCTATAGAAGTTTCTTTCAAATGTAACTTGTTTTTATGATTTCACCACAAAATGCCACTGCTACTAACCAAACATTGCCTTATAACACCTAGCTAATAGATAGCTAGAACTCCAGAGTGCCTACTAGTTAATCTGTTTAGGGTTTATCTACAGTATGCATATTCATACACACACACATACTCACACACGCAAATATATATATACACAAACACGTATGAAAGAAAAAGCTAAATACCTTTTCATTGAAAAGTGGTGCAGGCCTGGAAGTTGAATTATTTGTTTCCTCATTTCCACGGCATAATCTAATAAACTTTGGCAAATACTGCAATTTCATGGACCGTAGCTGGGCAAGTTCAAAATTTTGATCATCTTCTGCAATATCAATATCATTAGTGGCACCTTGCCTCTCCTCTTTAACAAACTCTGACATGTTACTGCAATCTGTTACTCTAATTTCTTCAAGTTGGAGAAGCCGTCTAGCTATGGAGAATGGGAGCAAACTCTTGAGCTGCTTACAACTTTCAACCGTTATAGTTCTTAATCGTTTGAAAGATGTTTCTCCAAGTCGACCATGACATATCTCCACCATATTCTTTAAATTTTGAAGAAATAGTACTTCTAAGGAGGAAAATGCATGGGAAGGAATTTGTCCCACTGAGTTAATGATATGCTGAATCTCATGAGCATTTTGGACATAAAGAAACTTCAGTTCCTGAAAACCTTCAGCACCTAACTCAGAAACTATATTCTTGACACCCTCCAGATTCTCTAGATGTAATTCTTCTGTTCTCTTCATCAACATGCAAATAGAATGCTCATAACTAATACTTGTATTCAGCTCCAATTTCAATATTTTTGAGCTTCTGAAAGAAGTGTCCCAGCAGTTCCAAACTTCTCCAATGAAGATCTTGTATCTTTTCAGTCGTTCAGAGAACAAGTCTTCTGGAACAAGCTGAACATCACATGCATGCAAATCTAAAGCAGCCAGGTTATGTAAATTCTTCAACTCGACAAGGCTTGCATTTCCTTGATTTGCGGTGTCCCATTGATTGAAGCTGTTTCCCAGGTGCAGAGCTTCAAGTTTAGATAAACTTGCTAGGATGAGTGGTGGAATCAATTTCAGTTTGGTACAATCACTCAAATTTAACAACTTCAGCTGGGTTAGCTGTCTAATCTGCGATGGTAGCTCTTCGAGATCACACCCTGAAAGGCTTAGGACCTCCAAACTCATAAGCTTTCCAATGAAGGCTATGTCTCCTATAATACTTTCACTCATACGTAATGTATGAAGGTGTTTTAGGAGGCAAATTGATGAAGGCATGAATGAAAAATGCATCTTAGACAAATTCAAGACCCTGAGATTTGGCATTCTCCGAAAAAAATTTTCTGGAACTCTCACAGAAGGATCCTTGCTACGTAAAGAAAATAAGTTACAATGTGGAAAATCCAACTCATCTGGAAGCTCACCAACATTAGCATGTTGTACGCTAATCCATTTGATCTCTCCCACTGCCACCCCATCCGACCACTTTTCGGGTTCGTTGCCATCTATTAATGGTAACACATGGTAGTCCCTTGAGGCAATGGATGTGGCGACATCAAAAACAATATCGTGCATCTTAATGTGAGTATTGCTACAATCATCAAACAACAAAGAACAAGATTTCAGGTCACTAACCAATGTCAATACCCTGGCCCTTGCTTCTGATATTGTACTGACACGATGAAATAAGCCCAAGCCAAGACCATATTCCAACAAGTCGTCTGTAGAACCATTCTGCCCGAGCAAACTACACAGCAAGAAAGTTTGCTTGCGTTCGTCTGATTCTAAGTGCTTGAAGCTCAATTCAATTGCTGAGTAAACAGTTGCAGGGATTCCCCTGAAGTTCTCTGGAGAGGGATTTCTCAGTCTTAGCAGAGCATCCGTCCATTCATAAAGTTCCTTACGTTTTAAAGCGTTGCCAAGAGTTCGAATGGCCAGGGGGAGCCCAGCACATTCTTCCACAATCCCCCTTGCTGTAAGCCGCAAGTCAGAATTTTCAACTTCTTCACCAACTATCTTCTTCAAGAGCTCCCATGCTTCCTCATCTTGTAATCCGCCAACTTCAAAATTTTGATGAGTATCCATGAGATCTGATAAGACAGTGCGAGATCTAGAGGTGAGCAGAATCTTGCATTGCACATGTTCTTCACCAATTGAGCTTGCCTCATTCTTTTTAACTTCATGTGGAATCCCAAGTTGATCCAAATCTATCCCCGTCCAGATATCATCTAAAATCACAAGAATCCTCTTCTTTCCCATCAAATACGCCTTTATTTGATCGGCTCTCCCATCATTGCTCTCCCGATGAAGCTGTAGTACTAAATTGTCTGCTATTTCAGCTTGAATTCTTCTCACGTTTGGTTCCTTTGTCACAGAAGCCATCACAACTGCATCAAATAATTGGGCTTCCTCGGCTTGTCTGGCAACTTCTTTGGTTAACATGGTCTTGCCCACACCCGGCATCCCGTGCACACCAATCTTGTCAACAGTGGAACTTTTCAAGGCCCCCATAATACGGTCCAAAATGGACATTCTTGAGCCAAAGTCCTCAAAACCTTTAACTCGTGCAGCAGATATCTTCTGTGGAGGAGGATGAATAGCAACTAAGAAGTCGGAGCTACCAGCTTCATCTAGCAGTTGAGCCACAACTTTAACATACTCTTCTACTTTCTTGCTGATTCGGTAACGTGGCCAGGGATTACAACACATCCCAGCCAAACACTTCTTCTTGGCATTCTCTTCAGCATCCTTCAACTCCTGCATCTCTCTAGAGTATTCGTCTGCTTTTTTAAGCCACTTATTGACCTCGGGCAACTCTTCCCCTTTTCTGTCAGCAGCTTCCTTAAATTTCAGCAAACTCTCTCTTTTAGCCACCAGCCTCTTAACGTCATTCTCCAGATTCTTTAAATTAGTCTTCCATTTGAACACACGAGCTATTCTGTTCCAGATTAAATTGAAAATTCGATCAACCAGGTTCTCTGCAACTTTTTCAGCAACAACAGTAGCAGCTTCGGTGCCTGCCATTTTTCACCTTTTTTTTTCTTTTTTGTTGAATATTGGAAAACAGATACAAAACAATACACAGATAACAGAAGCATGAAGAAAAGAAAACAACCACCAAATCAATGAAAAGGTGAAAATAGAAGAAGTGAGAAAGAGATTTGTTTAGTTGGACAGAATCAAAGTGAAAATGAACGGACGTGGGTTCTTTTTTGTTGGAGCAACGGCATCGAAGCTGTAATGTTTGCTGCAACAAGACAGCAAAATGGTGTAGCAAGAAGCTGCATTTATAGCAAAAAAGTGCAGCAATAAAGCTGCTTTAATGGAAGAAAGAAAAGGCCAGCAAGCTGCTGCATTATGTAAGAAGATGAAATGAAGATGAAATGAAATTGTGATGCAAATGAGATGCAAAAGTAAATGAAATGCAAATGGGGGCCTACAAATTAATCGACAAAAATGTAGCAATTTCAATGTACTTTTTTAATGTTAATTTATGTGTTACAATCTTTCATTAAATGTTAAAATGTTAAGGCAAAACCGTAAGTTAAGCCCTTGAACTAATCTCAGAATCGTTATTAAACCCTTAGACTTTAATTGATGCATATAAACCCTTAAATTCTGTGATCGGAGCACTTAAACCCTTCTTCTTATGCCAACTTAGCTACCGTTTGGGGCTCGCTCGCCTGGTTTAACTACCGTTTAGGACAGGCTCGCTTGGCTGCTTGGATGGTAAAATATTGTCATGTCATGCTTACATAGCAAGGGATTTGACATTTGAACGAGATTTTTAACTTATTTGATCATTTAATTTTTTAATTTAAATAAAGTCTAAATAAAATAAAGTTATATATTTGAGTGAAAATATTATTTAAATAAAATTTTAAATTTAAATTTAATAAATATAGTAATAGATATT